AGACAGGGACCCTACCCTGTGTACGAACCTAGGACAGGCAGTAGAACAAAGCCTTGGCTTTTCTGAGAGCACAGTTCCCTGAGTGGTAAGTCAGTCCCTTGAACGCAATAGCAGCATGATTTTGTGTGCTTTATTACCTAAAGGCTGAGAGCAAGGCTGAAAATATATCCATGACTCCCCACTGTAAGGCAGTGGGGTATTCTAAGCATATACAACTAAGCCATAATTCTATGTAATGGCTAAATATACAGGACTAGACCCAGAAATGGCAAACGCATCCTACGAGCATTGTCACATTTTTTTCTTACGACTCTACAGGCAAATGTTAGTTACGAGACCTCAACGCACTAATGTGAAAGTGAGGAAAAGACCCTCCCGGCTGAAATTTAAAGGACTGGTTTTCATTCTCTACCTAAACCAATCTCTGGAAAGGATATTTCTAGCAGTCACTCAGCACAGACCTAAAGATACTCACCTGCGGTTTATTTATCTTTCATCCTATACAGGAAAGGCACTAGTTCTCAAACAGAACGGCCCATGTACACATTTCAAAATCAATCCCAACTGTATGAGGGCTTCTGTGAATGTGGTCTAGTAGCTAGCGGTGATAAAACCAGTCACGGAGTGTAAATATGCCAAAGCTGTTCTATTTATTCAGCTGACTAAGAAAATAAACCACAGGAAATGTGAGTTTCTTCAAATTGGCAGAGACTCAAGTCGCTGGTGGCTGAAGAGAGAAGAGGAAGCGCTGGTGGGCTGGAGAGGATGAGGTTTGGAGGGATTGGGTCATCAGAGCAAGGGAGACAGCGAGGGCTCACCCCCACACCCCCATCCTTGTTTTCAGCATAGTAGGCCATGTTGCAAACGGTCTAACCTCTGCTCTGGCTCTATGCAAACGGTCTAACCTCTGTTCTGGCTCCACTCTTCAGTGCTCTAGCCCTACTGACTTCATTTTGCTCTGGTGCCCACAGAACTGAGAGCAGTGCTGAAAATATACCTATGACTAAACTCAAAGAATCTCGCTGCCTCTTCACAAAAGGAGTAGCTACATGCCTTCTGGGAATGCCCAAGGCAGCTGCTTCTGAGGATCTTCTTTCATATAAATTAAAAATTATTACAAGAAAGAAACCAGCCATATATCTGAACTCGGTACTTCTCGCAGACAAAAATAATCACCGCACATACAAGTCACACAGATTTTCCCTGTGAAGATGGGTGTGGCTTTCATTTATATTTAGTTCCCTCAGAAAATTGGTTTCAATGCATTTACATGTATTAATTCAATTGGTTGTCATCTAAACTATGTGAAATAGAAGTAAGCATTCTGATTCACAAACACGGAATATGAGACAGAAAATGTTAAGTGTTCAGGATCATTCAGAAAAAGCCATGACAGAGTTAAAAACAAAGGTGGGAATAGGCTCCAAAATATGTAACTGCTACCTTGTGTTGATGGCAAAAAGCTGGGGTTATCAAAATTTTTAACTATTTTAAAGAATAGATAAAAATGACAAAGTGAGAGAAAAGAGAAGATTGGGAAATGACTTTTTTTTTTTTTCAGTATGAGAGGGTGTTTTCCCATTACAGACAATCATAGACTTCCTTTGCCCTCAGAAGATAACTTCCGCTATAACTATATTCAGGGTATACGGTTAGACCTAGGAAAGAAACAATAGAAGTGGAAGTGAATCCGATCCTACGCATCACGGCAAGCTTGAGCTTCCTCGGAAAGTCTTGCCCGTTCTCACTCCTGGAGACCTGCAACAATGACTTGGGTCCAACGTCATGAAGGTGCAAAAATCATACACACAAACAAAAGCTTTACGATGGCATGTGGATTCAGAGACAGAAGGACATATAACAAGCTGTTCTACGTGGCCACAGCTCAGCTGCTGAGCCCTCTCCTGAGTAAAAGATGGGACTGTTCTCTTAGGACCACTGTGCCTACCAGTCCAGCTTTCACGGGGTCGGAAAGCCTCGGTCAGGGGAAATCCACAGGCAATGAATGGCCTTGGTACACAGCAGGAGTGTGTACCAAATGATCATGAAGCCAGTCCATGCTCGGCTGATCTGAGATGCCGGCGTAGACGACAGTGACTGTCCAATCCAAACATTTTAGAGCTTGCCAGCGCTCTGCAGGACTTGAAGAGCTCTGGACTGATGTTCGGAAGAATCCCCACCGTGCCAACCCACCCGCTGTACAGAAGGCCACCTGCATTCCAGGTCCCACATGACCATTCAGAGTGGTCTCCCACTGAGCCCCAAAGCCACACTACAAAGTCTAAACTGGTACGGGAGTGACATCCTAGCCCCATCCACATGGTCTGCCCTTCGCAATTTAAGACGAGCACTCATTCATACATGGCCTCTGACTCCCAAAACCAATGAAAGAATTAACAATCAACATGAACATAGAGTAGATCTGATTACCACTGAGCCCTTGTCTACTTAGTCATGGATGATAACAAATATCCCACTGTACTGCTACTAGCTAAAAAAAAAATCACCAAACCAAATCAACCAACCAATTTAAAAAAAAAGAAAAACGTGTTTGATGCATAGGGCACAGGACTTCATGTCACTGACTGCTAAATGCCTCCTCCTCGCCTAAGAACAGAAGTGTGACAAAGGTCATGACTCTTGGATTCTCACCCTACTCACCTTTCAGAGTATATGGCACATGCCAGGTTCCATTTAAATAGTTTTAAAGTGACTGAATGGCTTTTTTTTTTTTTAAGAACTCCATCATTTCTCTTATTCCTTGTCTCTAAGTAGACAGATTCTTGGAACTCTAATTCCACTGTAAGCAGGAGGAGAGATACAACTCGACTTTAATGAGTTTCAAGGAGTGGGGGAGGGACCACTAGGCTTGAATGCACTTAGAATGGGACCAACTTTCTCCAGCTTGTTCAAGAAACTTCACTAAAGGTTTCCTTGGGCTTAAATTAAGACCCATCTTGCAATCTTTGCCCAACCCAATCCGTGTTCTTCCCCTTTGGCGTCTTTTAACTCTGAGATGCAATCTCAATTGTGCTTCTGTCATGGACAGTTTGGGGTCTTTGCTATCAACGGATTTTAGATTTTGCATTACAGATTTTAGATTTGGCGGTTAAACATGCAAATGTCCCAAACTCCAAATCTCTAAAATCTAAGGCTTTTCTGGTCTCAAACATTTTAGATAAGGGCTACAGAACCTGGTGCACAGTCTTGGTTAGAAAATGTCATGCCTTCACAGGGAAACCACTGCATGGCTCTGCTCAGAAGGGAGCTGGGTTTTGCACTCTGGAGAGGGACAGTCCTAACATTAACCCATCCTAAAGCTGGCCAGAATGCTAAGGATGATGCGGTGTGCCCAGAAACCAGTCCCCAAACCCATCACCGAGCACTGCACTGCTGCTCCTAGACAGGTGACCCATTCTTAGCAGGTGACAGACAGCAAGAGGAAGGAGGGACAGAGTATGGCAGGCTAACTCGGCAAACTGAAGAGGTTTCTCTTTCTAGTCTCCAAGAGTAGTTCAAGCTAAGCCTTTGGTCTGGAAAGAATTAACTCTTCAGCCATTTTTTTTTTGTCTGTTTGCAACCTTTCATTTTGCAATACACATTTGTCATCACAGAAAGGCAATCCAAATATGAATGTATACAATGAAAGCCACATGTTTACAAAAGAAAAGAAAAATGTCTTTCAAAACAGAAAGCCAAAACAACTACAGAGAAGTGACAGGCGCTTGGCATTTACTTGTTGAAACAAACATGCTTGTAGGCAAAGGGCACTTAGCTTTTGGGAGATGGTTACAGAGATTGCAAGACATAAATGTAAAACACAGCAATGACCAGAGAAAACACCTTAAGCTGTAGCTAGCCTTCAGCAAATTGGAGCTGATAGTTTCTAGATAACCTCCCTCCAACCCCCACTCACCTCACCCACCATTTCTCTACATTTTTATGAACACATTCAGTTCTGTGCTTAAAAGCTACAGTTCAGGGTCATTGAACCATATATATTCTAGTCCCAAATTCTAAAGGAAAAACTGGGGAAGGTCCCACGGCCATATTACCGGGTTAAGAGTGACTCATGAAGGCACAGCCATTCCTCACAAATGGTTTCAAACCTCAAAACAGACAGGATTATGGAATATGATCTAGCACTCTGAGAGAGCCCAACCTTCATTCCTGATGTCTGTTAATGCCAGTAAGAACTCAGAGAACAGAAGCATATAGACAGGAAACTTTAGATTTACCCAAGATTCACATGATGGTCAAGAAATATAATGTAATATCGTTTCAGTGCCAACCCTTTTGAGAGACACACCTGGGTTTAGGGAGTTCACAAGCCAGAAACTGTTCTGTAATGGCCAAATGGGACCAGATGGGAGAAATGCAAGGCTTACAAAGGAAGATCCGAATCTGCATAAGCTGCACCAAAGCTCAGAGATGTGGGCGGGGCACATCCTCACAGAGCACGCTGTCAGGGAACAACTTCGCATATGACCACTGTCTGTGTCCTTACCTTTGCTTCTCCCGTTGCGTTCTTTTTTATTCTGAAAGAAAGGCTGTTTTCACAGCAGTCTGGGACATCAGGCTCTTCCCCACACTAAGGAAAACCTTGCGAACTGAAAAACATCTTTTGTGTCTGAAATACCATGTGTCCTTTTTCTTTCTAGAGAAGGGAGTTAGAGGAAGTAGGAGCACCCAATCTGTACTCATAGCTTTGAGTAAAAGTAATATTGAAGTAGCCTGTAATCCCTTGAGGTCTGACAGAGTACACTGAAACCAAAAGGAAAAATAACCTGGACTTTAAAACCTCTCACTAAGCATTCACACCACACCATAAATAACTCACTTTCTCAGGCAGTGGCTAAAGTCGTTGACACAAATACAAAGAGCATTCTAGCAACAACAGGAAGTTTGTTGTTGGTTACATTCCAGGCAATGCTCTGACAGTGAAAGGTCACTGCCCTCATCCTTTCAGGTTCTAGGCTAACACTGAACAGAAGTCTCACCTGGAACTTCCGGAGAGAATCTTGCAGAATGTCGAGATACAAAAAGTTTGAGTTCTTGGTCCAAGTTGCATTCAATCAGGTTTGTGTCCCATGATCGGATCCCTGTGGAGGAAGAGGAAGACAGTTGGCAGGCTTCCAGTGAGTCATCTCACAGAGGTTTGGAAAGTGTCCCTACAAATGTTTTACAGGCCTTTTTCTGGAGGGCTCCTTGGCTGGCAGTGGATGCCCACAAATGGAAAAGGGGAGGCCTTTCTACTGGGACACTAAGGAGGGGGAACTAACAGTGGGGCTGAAGTTCTGCCTGTCATGAAACATAAATGCAGCACTCCTGGAGGGTGGGGAAATAGTTTTTAGAGGAACGGCAGAATCAAGGAAGGAGAGGGAAGGCAGAGATGACAGATCTAGCTAAGAGGCCCCAGGCTAGCACCAGCTTCCTCAGGCTCCACCACTAGGCTGCCAGGGTCTGATACAGGTGGGATGGGCATCTGCCATTCAAGCCAGGGTCTCTGTTTCTCAAAGGATGCTTGCTCTTGCTGTGTGCTTGTGTGATTTCTTTCTTTTACTCATTTTTGACTTTGGTTTCTCAATCCAAACTTGTGTAATCTTTGATAAGTAGAAAGAACTCAAGATTTGGCCTAGTAGTTCTACCAGTCATTTATTTTATTTAATCAACTTATCAGGGAGTATTTTTATTTAATTGTGGGTTGTACTGAATATTTTTTATCCAGAATCAGAAAAAAAGGCAACTTTTTATAGTTGATAAAACTCTGATGGATCTGAGAATGGGCATGACCATCTCTGCACTAGGCTGGAGGGAGCCATCAGGGGCCAGAATGACCCACAACCAAGAGGTTGGTGGTTTCTGATACTGGGCATACCTCCCAGGTTCTTCTTTACTCCTTCCTCCCCCTCCTCATCCCAAAGGAGAGGCCTCAGAGGGAAAACAGAGAGCATCAAGTTAGAAGAACCCTGACTAGAAGCCAGGAAGAGCTGTGAGCCGCAGGGCCCCGGACAGCATGTGTGTGTGTGTGTGTGCACGTGCTCACGTGTGCACTTAGGCCTTCCCCGTCAGATTGCTCGTGATGAAGCCAGTGCATGGTGCCACAAGTGTACACTGATGTAAGCACCCTCAACTGGCAAGGACCAGTTTCTGAAGCAACGAATATTGATTCAGCCAACTCCTAAGCGAGGGACTTGAGCCCTTAGGTGTAACCCTGCAAGTGAACTATCTTTAACCAAAAGGTCAGTAACTGACTGACTGGTTAGTATTTGTGCCGTCAGCCTACAGAGTTTAAATGGCAGTGCATGAAGCCCATCTCTAAATCCTTAATGTATACCTTATCTACCACCATTTACAACTGATTCAATGTTCTTATCTTAGGAATAATCGTATGCATTGAACATACAGTAAAGATGTGTAACATATTTCTTAATTATATGAATATCTTGATTAAAGATATATTAAATATATCTTTTAAAAGATTGTAGGGCTGGAGAGATTGCTCAGAGGTTAAGAACACTGGCAGTTCTCCCAAAGGTCCTGAGTTCAATTCCCAGCAACCCAGAAGGTGGAAGCTCACAACCTTCTGTAGTGAAATCTGATACACAGGTACACATGCAGGCAGAATGCTGTATAAATAATAAATAAATAAATCTTAAAAAAAAAAGATTGTAGAGTTCACTGTGCATGCAAAGATATCTTCAAATTCATTCTCTTTCTCTTTCATGCTCATTTTTGTTTCGTTTATTTATCTATCTACCTATTTATTTATCTATCTATCTATCTATCTATCTATTTATTTATTTATTTATTTATTTATTTATTTATTTTGAGACAGGGTCTTACTACATAGCAAAACCAGCCTACAACATACTGGCCTTGAAATTGTAATTCTGATGCCTGAGCTTCTAGATTGTTGGACAAAGACCTTTTCCACTGGAGGAACATTCTCAAAGAGCTGTATGCCCCTTAGACAGAGAAAGAATTTCTCATAGGAATAGAGGGAAAGCATTCAGATAAGAAAGAGTTAACATTCCTAAGGAGAGGCTAAATTATAAGGGAAAATTTTATGAGTCTCCCTGGAAACATTAAATGGCCTCAGTTTGCATTTGTGCTAATGGAATATTTAAATTTTAACAAGAAAGGCATGTTGAGAGTTTGTGGGTCTTTTTAGTGGAGAAATGATAAATGGCTTCTTTTTGTTCCCTGCAGGGCTTGACAGGTTGAGAGGTCTGAATTCATTAGAATATTTTACTTCAACATATACACTCTATACTAGCCTCGTGCAGAAAGCCATTGAGTTCCTGTCTGAGTGGCTTAATTGGAACCATTGACGGAGTTCCACTTTGTCTTCGGCTTGTCAGGCCGGGTCAATAAGCTAATAATGAGACATATGTATTTAAATTAAATTCATACTATTCCTCCATCTTTGTTCGGAGTAGCATCTAAATGGCCACATGATTTGAGTGACTGCGTCTGGGGCGAGGCACCCGCTTGCTCTTGCACTGTTGTTTCTCATTTCCCCTCGTCACGACGCAAGTGGGGAAACGCTCCTTGTGTATCCATTTACGTATTTTTACATCTATAATTTGACCATAGAAAAAAATGCTAGGCTTTAAGAAAGCCATCGAGTTAATTTTTAAATTAAGCCAGTAGACAGCTGAGAAAAATAACTTCCCGTGTGTAAACTCCCAATGAAAGTAAAAATTCAGGGTTCTCTGTTTCTAAGCTAGCAATTTCCAGCCTAAGCGTTTCTTAATGATGCGCAATCACTGCTGCAATTTATAAAATAAAGATTATATGGACTTCCTGGTTACTGTAGTTGGGAATGAACATTTTGCAGCATTATCAGTTTTAGAAAGAAAACACTTTAGTAATGCTTGGTGATTGATTTTTAGCAAGTTTCCATATCTTCCCTTCATGTCTGAGAGCCAATGCTGGAGCCCTGATGTTGATAACCAGTCCTTCCATCAGTCTTCCTCTGGACTCCACAGCCAGAGAGAATTCTGAAAGAGGTCCTGAGAGAGGTTCTGAAGCAGGAGAACATGCCATGCTCCTGACCCTTTTTTTTCTGATGATCCCCGTTTCGGAAGGACAAGTTCTTGATTGAAGCTTTGCTTCTGTAGCCAGTAAAGGCTTTGTCCTTACTGGATTACCCAGGGACTAACTGGAGCAGCTGGAGGTAGGAAAGCTCTGTGTTTCAAGTGCCTGGGTGGATTGGTTCAAGGGGCATCTGGGACCACAAAATGCTCCAGGCTGCTCCAAGATTCTGGCTCAGCCCGGGAGGCAGGCACTGTCACTGTGTCCATCCCAGGTGAAGAGGAGGCTTCAGACCATATTTTCTTTTCAGTTCTCTCACCCCATGTGGTAGCAGTGCACAAAGGAGCCAGCAAGCACATGGTTTTTGACAGCGGGAAAGGGCATTTTAGAGCAGGTCGGGGTGAAGAAGGAAGAGGAGCCTTATACCCTGGCTCCCCTGCAGAGCTGCAGGATGGATTACACAGAGTTTACCCTCATCTTGCAAGAACTTTTGGTTTAATAAAGCCAAAAAGGAAAACCAAAAAGGACTTCTCTAACGGATGAAAACTGCATACTTCTAAGAAAGCAGCAGCCCAAAGAAAGAAAAGCTGAATGGACCACACTGCACGCCAATGCCCCGAGGTTCTACGTGAAAGTTACTTGGGCCCTTTGCAAGTTATTTTCCTCAATGGGCCCAATTTAATTGTTCCCTTTGAGAAACAGGCTTTTGAATATTTCTTGTAAATATCTGAATGGTCAGATCCTGTGATTCTGTTTGGAAAATGACACTAAAAGGTGACCTGGACCGAGGATAGGGGCATAAACCAGAGAAGCAACTAAAAAGAAAACCCTAAGCCGGTCTTTAGAGAAAAGATTTCCCAGTTTTCCTTTGACTTAACCTTTGCTTTTCTCTTTACAAAGCCGGTAACTGAATCTTTGTCACATATTCGTGTACAATGCAAACAATATCTTTCACGGACAACACAACATTTCAAAGCACTAACAGTAAAAAAAAAAACTAAGGCCTAAGATAACATCTTAGATTAAAAGCAAATAGTAATTTATAAGGATTTATTTCTTAATCTAAGAGTTAGAAATGACTTTGAAAAGCTAGCTCTAAGGGAAGATTTACAATAAAGCATTGATTTAATGACCCTCCATTTGGGGGTTTCAGCTTGGGTCACAGAGCCCTTAGTAGGCAGCACAAGCCAGAATCCATCTGCCTTCTGACTTCGGAAGTGTGTAAAGACAAATACAACAAACGTAACACATTCTAGCATCTCTTCAACTCCTACCATATATGGTTTTCACTTTTTTTTTCCCTTGCTAGAAGAAAATGAAAATTGAATCCCAAAGCCTTTCTGGATTCTTCATTTCTTGCCTATAATTTTGGACAGAGCATATTCAGTAAAGCTTCATCAGACTATGACAATGTAACCAGCTCAACTCACACGTATCTACCTTCTCATTAGCATACCTTGTTTATTTCCATGTGACCTGGACAGACAGCTGCCTTCTAACTATAATTGAAAGCATCAGACTGACACTTAGCATTTGGTTTCTTTAAAAAAAAAAAAAAAAAAAAAAAAAGGCACAACAACTCACTGCACCATGCTTTAAAATTCAGTTTGGTGGGTATTGCTGTATAGAGCCTAGATACTAAAATATACCCAAATGCCAGCACTTTGCTAAAAATAAAAATATCAGGCTAACTCCCCACTGGGGCTAATTAGGGAGGGACAAATGAATCATTTTGTGGCAGCCACTATGGTCTGGAATCAAGTCCTATATAACTACATCAGGATAGCTGGACCAGTGCTAGGAGGCACTATTGTTTGAAGCTCTGGAGAAGAAATGACACAGCTGAGGAAGTAAGAGTGACCATTTTTCTTTCTTAGCCTCAAGAAGCACTTAGCCTCCACACTGGGGTGTTTCAGGCCTGTTGATTTACTGCATTATCTACCATCACTCTGCAGAGTTCTTTTCTTTTCTTTTTTTTTTTTTCTTCCTTTCTAGAGTGCTCTGGGTAATCAATCAGATGGCAAATATGCCGGTCTCCAGGGTCTCCAAATGCACAGTGCCTGAGTTTGGATGGGAAAGGAAGAGGAAATAAGAAAGGCTAACAAATGAGAGAAGCTGTTTTCCCAGCCTGCAGGCAGCTCATAATCAGAGCTGAGCCTCCTGGAGCAGCTTCATCTTCCTTCATACAACATAGCCCGCAGGCACCAGCAACAATGGCGGGGCACGGTAGTGACCTCTGGAGGAGGCCCAGCTGGGATCTGCCAGCTGAAGCAGCAGTGTGGCAAGCCAAGGAAACGCAGCCTGCCCACCCTGTTGCTAAGTCATCTCAGACTGTCTGAAAAGCTGGGGAAGCAGGATTTTCACTCTCCTTGAATGGCCGGGCAGTGTGAGCGGCATCGGAGACCCCGGGACCCAGGAGATCGCTCCCTGGAGGATCGGCAACATCTGTCACTGCCCTGAAGGAAACGGCTGGGCTCACACACTTGGTTGATTCTTAACGAGATCGATACAACCATTTCAGAGATCCATGCAAGAAACCTGACCAAATTAGGAAATTAAAAGTCAGAAAAGCACGGTGATTGCAAAGTGAACGCTGGGTGGGCGGGTGGGGCGACGTGGATCCTAGTGATGGCTATTTCTTAGCTGGACAACACAGGTGTGCTCACTTTGTGAAAATTCGGCGGACTGTTTGCCTATGGTGTTTGTGCCTTTTCCTCTTTCTCTCTCTCTCTCTCTCTCTCAGATACTTAAATCGAATCCTTTATAAAAATTTATTTTTAGTGTTAGGAAGACAAATCTGGAATTTAGCACTAAAATGCTAGCAGTGAAAAAGAGGAGTAAAGACTGGACGAACACCACAGAATTCCTTGGCTGCATCTATTTTCTCCTCGCCAGAAAGAGGATTGAATAAAGCCTGGGGCAGAGCACCTTAGCGGTGATCAAACGCAGTAGCAACAAAGCAGGAAGATAATTGTGGTTGCAAGGTGATGGCTGAGCCGCCTCCCTGCACCACGAGCTGCCCACAAGTGGACAACAGTACAAAGACAAGCTCTGAAGCTCTATCATCTTGACCCGGTCAGGCAAGCGGTGACGCTGCGGCACCGGTTCTCCAGTCACCGCTTCGCAACGTGACCTTGAGTCTGTCTCTCACCCTTCCTGCCTCTCCCAGTTCCCAGCCTTTGAAAATGGGCGTGATGATTCCTCCCCTGGCACCTCAATGGGTGATCCTGAAAATTCTGGAGCTGAAAAAGCACTTCTTAACGTATTATTTATTTCCCGGAAAAAATACATTAAAAAGGCTTTAAAAACATCCAGTCATTAATTCCCACAATAGCCACACCCAAAGTCAGCACGTGTGCGTTTTTCCAAGGTGGAAAAAAAAATGTGCAAATAAACTAAGTTTGAGAAGCATTTGATCAAAGGTCCGTAGTCTGCAAATGAAGGTTTACAGGGTCGTTCAGAAAAAGCGTTCCACTTCTGAAATCTCTTATTCTTGATTTTTTTTTTTTTCCGAATGAAAATCACGTCTGGCTTTCTGCTCACTTTTTTATTTTTTTTCTTCTGAAAGGGAAAATCCGTGCTTTAAAGTTAAACAAAAGAACCGGTCTGCAACTCCAGTCCCCACCCTGCCTTTTGTTCTAGGGACAAGTGGCCATTTCCAAATGCAGAGGCAGGTGACAAGCTTTTGTTTATTTATTTATTCATCTAAACCAAAATCATTTCATCCATCTTTATTGGCGTGAAAGGGAGAGGGAAAGGAGGGCTGCGTGAACGCCCTTTGTCCGCCTCGGGCTGCCGTAGAGACCGCAGTGCGGACTGCACCACGCCCACCAGCCGGTGTCTCCTGGCAGAGGCGTTTCAGCACCACCCCGAGAGAATAGAGCGCTCCGGCTGGTGCTGCTGTGCCGAGACCCCGGGCCCTCTGGCAGGGATGGAGTGAAGGGAGGGACGCCGAGGGGGCCGGAATAAGGCAGGGGCCAGAGCTGCCTACCGGGGGCGGGGGGCGCAACAAAGCCGCGCACAGCCAAAGGTGGGCGCGAGCCCCCCCCCCCCCCGGCCGGAGCGCGGGCAGAGCGAGCTCCGCGCCAGCCGGGGGCGCCGCAGTGCGGGGGCAGGTGCGGCTGCCCAGCGCGGGCACTGCGGCAGGCCGGGTGGGGCTGAAAGGGCGGGTCGGTCGCTGCCCGCCCGAGGCTGTGCCCTCCCGGACCCCTCCCAGCCCCGCCCAGGGTTCCCCGGGAACCGCTATTCCGGCTCTGCAGAGCCCGTCCCCGGTGCGCGCAGCAGCCCAGGAGCGGGCCCTACCCTACCCTGCCACCCCCTCCTCCCATTCAAGCCGCGGCTCTGGAAGCTGAGACTTTTCCGAGAAGCCCAACCCGCAACCTGGGGTCCCCATTGTCCTTTCCGAAAGCTGCAGCCTGGACCTCAGGGGCAGAAGCGAGGCCGGGCTTCGTCTGGGAACAGAGCGCGGACGGGTTCCACGCCTGTCTCCTAGGGGGTGGGGGTGGGGGGGCCGGGCGTGGCCCTAGGACTAGCCTAGTCATTCCCGGGAAAGAACGGACAGACCGGGAAGTTTTAAGTCAGAAAAGGCATTCTCCGTTCTCAGATGCGTGCGTGCGTGCGTGCGTGTGTGTGTGTGTGTGTGTGTGTGTGTGTGTGTGTGTGTCGGGGGCGGGGGGGCATGAGGCGGCTATTAAGGATGATTCCCATGCGGGCCTTGGCACATGGTGTTTCGACCCCAGATTTTCGGGGAGAGGGAGGAGGTCTCAGCCTTTGGCTGGGGCGAGATCGCAGCCGAGGAGGCGCCGTTCCGCCAGGTCCACCCCACCCTTTCTCCGCCTGCAGTTGCGGTTTTATTATGGCCTCCGCTCCCCTGACACCTGCATTTCACTGAGCACGAGAGGAGGGGGCCAGGTCGGCGGTGGCCACGGACCCGGACAGGTGACCCACCCCTCAGGGCTATGAAAGATTCTCCCTCTGGATCTCAAATAGAATAATTTGGAAATTAGCGCAGGAAAAAAAAAAAAAAAAAAAGTCCAGATGGAGTGTGGGAGGTGGCCTGGAGAGGCGTGGGTGCGGGGCGTGCGGGAGAACAAGGTGGCCATCGCGGCCTGGGTGGGGTCGTGCTGGCGCGTGTCCCCACGCACGTCCCCGGGGGGCCTCGGGACCGCTTACCCAGCTCGATGTTGCCGATGGCACGCCTCAGGTGCTCCTCGGTCACCGTCTCGCCGACCACCACCAGCAAGTAGAACTTGCTGTCTAGGAAGCGGTGTGACAGGCTGGGCGAGGTGGATGCCGCCGGGTTGGCGGTGCTGCCGGATGGCTCCGGCTCGGTGGCTTCCACCACCACGGTCGCCATCCTGCCGGCCCTGCTAAAGCCTGGGCGAAGTGTTCCTCTCACGCCGCTCCGCTGCTCTGCGGCAGGAGAAAGGATTATCTCCGAAGGTGCTGTCTCCGCTCCGCCCCCTGCGTCCCCCCTCCTCCCGGCGCGCGCCACCTCCCCCTCCGCCCTCTCCCTGTGCGGAAGAGAGGAGCGGGGAGTGAGAGGCCGGGAGGCGGTGCCGTTTATATGGAGACTAGGCTAGGAGCCTGGGAGGAAGAGGAGGAGGAAAGGACCACCCGGCACATCCTCGTGGTGGCTGCCTCCACTCCTCCAGCCCTTGGCCCAGGGCTGATGTCATCTGCAGCAAATCATTTCGCCCGCGGCCCGGAAGCTGGAGGGACGAGGTGTGTGGACAATGGTCTGGGCAGGGCCAGGAGCCAGGAGCCAGGCTCTGGGGGACCCGAAGAACTGTGCTGTAGCCCCGAGGCGAGTGGGCATCACCACCCTCACATACGCACAGCTTTCTTGCCCCAAACCCTCAACTGTGCTGTACCGGAGAGTGGGCATGACTTCCCGTTTCAGAGTGGGAGTACGTCCCGAGTCTGACTGCACATCATCTCTTCTCTGCCAGTGTCCCATCCACGTGAAGTCGGGATTTGAGTAGCCGTGGCAGTCCTAGTGGGCACTGGGTGAGGACACCCCACCCAAGAGCACCAACCTGTCTTTTTGACCTTGTAGATTTAGAAAAGCGTTTTTGTCAGTTTTCCCCCCTAACAACAGGAATATTTATCACCTTCACTTAAAAGATACTTTGCAAGACCTAAGCCTGATTTGTTCAGACTGTGGAGTCTAGTCTGGAAGGACAAATGCTGAAAAAGAACTGGCCTCTGGTGCTCATGGGAAATGAATGAGAAGAGGCAGACCTCTTATGTTAGATACAGATTTCTTTTCTTAATGTGCTGAACAGATAGCATCAGGCGTAACAAAGAATAGAGAAGATACTGTCTCTACCCAGCAGGATTTCAGTGACTAGAATGTGCTTTTCAGTTCCTTGGGGGATACACAGGCAAAATTATTTTGTGTGACAATGATGTCTTTTAAGATACATGTGGCTTTGGGGGTTTTTTATTGCCTTTGTCTATATTTAGAAGAACTCATAATAATGTTTCTAAAGGCTACCATATACATTCATCTCTAACAAATCTAATGAATACATTTCTGTATCAGGAGAGGAGGGCAAACTGCATCATCATCAGAACTGGGCATCGGCGTTTTAGGGAAGAAAATTAGATGGAATTAGATGGAATAGGAAAAATAGACTCTTATTTCTATCTAATAAACCTTTAATATAGGAGTATTTACTAGTTTTAAAATACCATCTGAAGGGGCTGTAGCTCAGCTGTTAGAATGCAAGCCTATGCCAGCAACAAAAACACTGAGTCCCAGCACTCAGGCGGTGCAGGAAGGAGGCTCAGAAGTTCAAGGTCATCCTCAGCTACTTATGAGTTCAAGACTAGCCTGGGATACATAAGACCCTGTCTTAAGAAAAGAAAAAAAAAGAGAAAGAAAGAAAGAGAAAAAAACCATGTAAGATTTTCAAAATAACCCAGGGTCTTAGGCATGCCATGATTTACATGATCTTCGTATGCCTTTGCCCCATTTCTTGCTTGAAGCCTGGATGGGATATTTGGTGGGCAACCACAGCCTATGCTTGTCTGATCATCGTGGCGATAATGATGTTTGACCTATGACCTTAGGGGTCTGCAACAAGCTTGCTGCAGACATTTGGTCTCAAGTGACAGAAGCTGTCTAAGTGGGACACTCAGTTAAGGGCAGCAGGATGGCCCAGGGTGGGGGCAAGGACATGAAGAACCCCCTTCCGGAGGTCAGCCACCACAGTGGCTCCATCCAATGAATGTCCTGCATTTCTCTGAGATGCCGTCACTCCTGTGTAGGTTGGGTTGGGAAGATGGATTTCTGTCCATAGCATATGTTTCCGAGCATGGTCTGTTGCCTCTATTTCTTTGGGCTTGAGGTAGGGCGGACATCGTGGTGGAGGAAGGGTGCAGCGCAAGGGCTCCTCACCTCCTCAACGCCAGGGAGCAGAGATACTTCTCCTCCTTCCTTCCATTCGGGCCCGGCCTGTGGGGGGCTGCTGCCCACATCCACGGTGGTTCTTATTCCATTAATTAATCCTCTCCGGAAACAGCCCAACAATCATACCCAGAGAGGTGTGCTGTCTCTCAACACAATCAAGTTAATATTCAAATTGGGGTCAGTGCTCTTTTACCTTGTTTGTTTTACTTAAATTTATTTTGGAAAAAAAAAAGTCCGTGTTTCTGTATACGCAGAAATACTCGTAACACAAATAAATAGGAAGTAGCCCTGAAAATGAGATAATAATTGAATTTCTGCTACATACTGTTACAATATACTCAGTGAGGCTGAGGTATATACTATCTGATATAGAAACTGAGCTGTGTGGAAATATACCAACACCTAACTGAAGTGTATAATGTGTTGCAGTAGAATGTTGGATGAAAGGTACAACAGGAGACCAATGAGATGACAGTGGGTTAAAGTCCGTGCTGCCAAGACTGAGGACCTACTAAGTTCAACCCCCAGGACCCACACAATGAAAGGAGCAAACTGACTGCCATAAATTGTCCTCTGACCTCTGCACACATTAGCTAATCAATTAAAAGAGAAAAAATGCAGTAGAGGAAAGAGCGTCTTCACTGTGATGTTCTGTACAACAAGGCCATGACCACGAACCACCCCAGTCTTCACTCACACCCATCACACAAGCCAGAGCTAGAATGGCAGCACAGAGGTGAGCAACGGGAACTACTTTTACCTCTGTGGCTCCAGGCGAGTAGTTAGGCTCTTTTATATGTTCGCTCTCTTTGTTGCAAAAGTGGGAAGAATCATATCTTTGTGTCTGTGAGAGGGAAGGGTGAATGACAGAGACTTCGGAAACACCTAATCCAGTGGACGGGACAACAAGCAACCGAGGCATGGCTGCTTATATGCCATCCCCCCCCCCCCACTGCCTTAGACAAAGGAGCAAACGTTGCTTTACGAAGTGTGCAGGGACTCCTCCACCAACACTTCTGGGTGAAAACCAGAACCAAAACCCAGCATAGTCAACTGCTCTTCTAAGTTAGAGAAGTCGCCGCCCCCAGGAAAAGGAGGCAGTTTCAGAGAAAAAGAACTCACCTATAAGGAAGCTATTCAGTGACTTCAGCTGAGTGTCCCAATAGCACTGTGAGCTGGCTGTGCTTCAGGCCTGAATCATCTTTACCTTCTAGTACTGACCTCTCACTTCTCCTGCTCTTGAGTAGCACCATCTATCCCACTCTGCAAGCCGGAAACCTCTGGGACCCTTCCCTAAACCTTCCTTAGCTGCCTTGTACAGCCAGCCCTGCATGGAGTCTGGCCAGTTTTACTTTGACCTTCTAGATGCCTCCTCAACCATCCACTTCTCTCCATTATCACAACCCTGGTCCTCACCATTATGAGAGGTACTATATATAGATTAAAAAAAAAGTTCTGGAGTAAAATCCCCCAAATCCAGACATGTTGGCGATAAAACCAGGACCTACTCTGCCACTTCCTCCCTGTGGTCATAATTATTAGCTATGTGACTTTAGGCAAGGTGCTTAAGTACCAGGTCCTGGTCTCTTCTCATATATAGTGGCCATGAGAACCAGCCTCTGGACAGGGCTCTGGATATGGGTTTGTTTATTTGTTGCCATGCTGGGATGAACCCCACAGCTGTGTACCTGGTAGGCAGCCACTTTCAATGGTTTAGGTTCCATCCCCACCCAAGATTTAAACAAGTACTTGAAAGTGTCTTGCGTGTATGTGGTAAGCACTCAGTTTTGGTTCATTGATGTTTTATTGTTGCTTACCATTCAGTATAAACAATTTAAAACGTATACAGTTTGGACAAGTTAATGTAAGATTATAACTTTGGGGAATGATGTTTTTAATAGTTCGATTGTTTAAGTCAAGGTCAAAATAAGTACTATATATTTAAATTAATCAATTGTTAGCCATTGTGTTTGTTTGTTTGTTTGCTTGCTTGTTTGCCCTGGCTGTCCTGGAACTCACCATGCTGACCAGGGATGGCCATGACAGAGATCTGCCTGCCTTGCCTCCAGAGTGCTGGGATCAAAAGTTTGCCATACCCTGTTCCAACTGTTGATCTTTAGTCTGTGTTCCCCGACTCTTCTTGCTTTCCTTAAACTGTTTTTGTTGAAACATTTGTCTTCAAGAGTGTCACAAAGTCTGAATTTTGCTGAGTGTATGAATGTTTTGTTACTGAATAATTCTCTGTCTCCTGAAAGTCTTGTTTCTAAATAGGAAGATCTGAGAGCTTAATCAGAGAGCTGGGGGTAGCCAAGAATGAGGCCTTGGATTTGATTCAAGCTCTTGGAAGGTAGAAGGAAGAGAAACAAAAGTCCAAGGTCATCTTTAGCTATACTGCAAGTTGGAGGCCAGCAAGAGCTATACGAGACCTTATGTCTAAGTCAGTTAATCAAAAGATTGGCCAGATTTGGGTTTTCTGCAACTATACTTCATAGATGAGAGTGGTTTCATTTTGTTATTTTCATTAGGTCATTACCTAATACATTATTTATTAAGAATTTGAAAATTCTACACACATATAATCCCAACACTTGGGACACAGAGGCAGGCAGATCTCTGTGACTTCAAGGCCAGCCTGGAGCGAATTCCAGGACAAAACAAAATAAAAAAGAATACAAAACTTCTAGTATAATATTTTATTATTTATTTGTCTGCAAGAAGGCATTAAGTAGGAGATCCTTACCTTGTCAGTTTGGCAGCCTAACGTACAGTTTATACAGGAAAAAGGACAAATACATGGCTATTTACTCATTTTCAACATTGTTCATCCCATACCATTCTCCAAAGTGACTGATAGTTTTCCATCATTAATATCTACTGTAGAGCTGTTGTTCTTATTGACATTTTCATTTCCCCCGTCTTGGCCAAAAGTATACAGAATATTCCCCATTTACCTTGTATTTACCCTTAGAACCAGGATTTATCCATTTCTCTAAGGAACCCACACTACTTAATTAAGAATAGGACTCAGAGACCATAATCGTGACTAGAGACCTCTACCACTGATG